CCAGGCTGGCCTCGAACTCACAGAGATCCGCCTGCCTCTGCCTCCCGAGTGCTGGGATTAAAGGCGTGCGCCACCACTGCCCGGCAGTTTTTTTTGTTTTTTTTTTGACAGACATTCTCATGTAGCCCATACTGGCCTAGAACTCACTATGTAGTTAAGGCTGGCTGGAATTCCTGATTCTCCTGCCTCTGCTTTCTAAGTGCTGGGATTACAGGAGTTCACTAGCAGTCTCAGATTCCATGTTTTATGTTTAGATCTTCATTGACTTTCTGACTTTTAAAAATTAGAATGTGAAAGCAGAACAGCTATATTATAAGAGAAAAACACAGGAGAAAAAGAATAAAGCTATTTAAAAATGTTTTTAGACTACTAAAAGAAACACATGATATAGAAAGATATGCATATAGCTGGAAGATATTTGGTATTTATTTGGAAGTTTCTAAAATTCACAATTACAGAATACTGTTTTCTTTTGATCTGGCAAAGTAAAGAAACACCAGGTAATGTACGATTAGCTGTAAACCACATCTGCATATTAATGTGTCATGTACCCATCCCATTAAAACCAAACCAACCAAGATAATGTTCTAAGACATTAGGATGGACATACGATTCTTTGACCTGCCACCTAAGTACCCTTGGAGCTTAGGGAACTGTCTTATTTCAGCTCTAGCTTTATCTGCTAATGGAAACAGACTAGAAATTAGGAGGAATCTGGAGCCCTTACAACAATATATGATTATGATGTTTCATGATTTGCTTCACTTATTCCATTCATACTGAAAATGCTGAAGTTTTGTATTTTATATTTTAATAGACTGATAAATTTATAATGGCAAATTTCTAAAAAAGTTCTCTTTACAGTGCAATATTATGATTTGTCATTATTTAACATGACAGTTGGGAACACATCATACATTAGATAATGACAATAATGAGTGCAGAAATGTACAGTGTAATTTTTATAAAGAACTTAAATTTGTGAGAAATCATTTTATGAGCTGGAAATGTTGAAACAAAATGTTATTTAAACATAAAAGCTGACCCAAGGGGGCCTGGTCCACAAAAGATGTTTATTTGATGTAACAAAACAGTACAGTTAGTGTTAGACCCAACCAACCACAAAGAACAAGGGAATGAAAAATTTATACAATGTACATAGAAAAAACAAGATGTTTACTATGACAACTCTATATTCCTAAAATAATGCTTCTAAAAAAAAATCACTCAATTATTGAAATCTATATGAAAAAAGGATGTTAATAGCGACAAAGTGCATAAAAGCAAACATCATATTTTGAACAAATTAACATACTAGGCAATTTTACTAACGATGCATGATTTTTTTTGTTGCTGACAGTATGTTCAAAATGTCTTTATACCAACAGGGTGGGCAGAACATTTATGTTTAATATTAATTACACAGTATTAGCATAAGCTTCCACAACTACATAGGGAACCGTTTTCTTTTGAGCTGGTAAAGTAACTAAAGAAACATAAGATAATTTCTCTGAATTGAGAATTTTATCCAAATAAATGCCACATACCTTCTGGATATATGCATATCTCTCTATATCATGTAAATGGCTTTACCCATATAAAGAAACCATACAGTTTAAGAATCATTATAAGATCAACAGTGTCATGATCCAGGCTTAACAATTTCATAGGCCAAAAAAAATTTCTTCTTAAAAACTAGTTTTATAAATGCAGAATATATTGCATGAGTAACTGCTGGTATTTTTAAGAAAATATATTGTGCAATTGTGGCTACCATATACTGCTGGCAAAGCATTATTTTCATGTAAAACATGAAAAAATGAGTAAAAAATTTTCAACTGCCTATGATCATGATGAAGATTTACTGCTTTCTTAAAAAAATTATATTGGCATTTCATTAAAAATAATTCAATAAGGGACAAACTCCCTCACCAAAAATAAATAAATAAAAAGGTGCATTTTAAATGACACTACTGCAATGCAATGGTGAAAATACTGAGGAGATGTGAATGTGCTGTGATCTGGCATTAAAAGAACGTAGTAAAAAGAGCATTAATGAAAATTAAGTAGAAAGGGGATCAAAACTAAACTATCTGAGTGTGTGCAGTATTGTAGCCAGGCTTCTAAAATTAGATATAGAAAATATAAATAGACTGCTGAGCCACCAGTGTCCAAAAATAACCAACAGAAACAAAAAACCCAAACAAACAACAATAACAATAACTGAACAAAAAAGAAACAATAAAAGGAATGAGATTCTGAAAGCTCAGTTAACTTGATCCAAAGCTCTGAGTAATTCTTCACCCTGCAGTAGGTTTCTGCTGCCTTGTATGGGAGCATTAACTTCACAATCATAACTGGTCAGCTGTGGTAATCCACTCTGATCCATTGATTGCCCCAGCAGTCTGCATGCTAAATCTGAAAAACAAAAAGATACCTAAGTATCATTCAATTGCTTAAACACCTAATATGCAGTTAGTACTGGGTAAAATAAAACACATTTCTGAAAAGAATCTTAACCTCTAGGGCAAACCCTTAGCTGTGCAAACAAGTTAAGTATAATCAAGTTTATTTCTGCTGTTAGATGTTTATACAAAGTCTGTTCTGAAATGCTTAAGCAATTCATTAATCACTGAATTTCAATTTCGGACAGCAGACAACATGCTACTGTATTTCATTTTTCCTCTCTCTGTCTTTCTCTCTCCCCCCTTTTCTTTACTTTTTCTTTTTCTTGAGACAGGGTTTCTCTGTGTAGTTTTGGTCCCTGTCCTGGATCTCACTTTGTAGACCAGGCTGGTCTCAAACTCACAGAGATCCGCCTGTCTCTTCCTCCTGAGTGCTGGGATTAAAGGCTTGCACCACCACCATCCAGCTACTTTTTAATCTTCCTAAGGAACCAAAACCACTGTCATTTGGGGGAAAAGTCCTAAAATAATATCATATTTAATTCTTTTCCTTATGCTAGTTAAGAACAGAAAGAATAAACTAACCAGAGGGTATTAAAATAATTGTCTTTTGCTCCATTCCACTCTGTTCACTTGATTTGCATCCTTTCACACGTTTCCAAGAAAGTGACGCAGCGGGAGCACGGTCACCTGGCTGCTGCAATAACGTTCCCTACGAAGAATTGAGTTAATAGTTAGTATGCTGCATTTTTTACAGTAAAAAACCTTGCAGTCAATATACATTTAATAGCAACCAATAAGCCAGATTTCTTCAACAGTGCTCTATAATTTAAATTTTTCTTGTAATAATGTAATTTTCATTTGTTCTTATAACAGTATGATAGTTATTTCCTCCCCATTATTGTTAATGTGTTTTTAAATGCTTTCCAGTCAATCTGTTCTGACCATAAGCTAGCCTCAACTGTCCTTAAAACATAGTCCTTTTTGTTTTGGTTTGGTTTTTGGAGACAGGGTTTCTCTGTGTAGCTTTGGAGCCTGTCCCGGAGCTTACTCTGTAGACCAGGCTGGCCTTGAACTCACAGAGATTCGCCTTGCTCTGCCTCCTGAGAGCTGGGACTACAGGCGTGCACCACCACTGCCCGGCTGATAGTCCTTCTTTAACAGACATTTTAGGATTATTTTTATTTTATGTGTCTGGTTATTTTGCCTGTGTGTGTCTGGACAGCACACGTGTATGGTGCCAGCAGAGGTCAGAAGAGCGTACTGGATTGCTGGACCGGAGTTGCAGAGGGTTGTGACCCAGCACGTGGGTGCTGGACTTTGAACCTGGATTCTTTGGAGGAGCAGTCAGTACTCTTGACTCCCAAGCCATCTCTCTAGCCCCAGTGCTTCTGGAATACGGAAAATAATTTACTGAGAAGAAAATGAGAGTGGTGATGATAGTGAGGGTGGAGTGACCGGCAAACCTGACTTCTTCCTCTAAAGTTATCGGCCATGTTTGGGTTTTTCACACCAGAATTTATTAAGTGTAAGTTTAAAAACAAGCCCGAAGATAGCTTTTGAAAAGAAAACTTTAGTATGTATTTGGAAGACAACATGCCACTCACACTCACAATTCCCGCTGCTTGGAAAAGGGAGCCATCTTGTTCCATTTTTCGCTTTCTCTGGGCATTCTGCAAAGCTATTATCTTTGGGTTTAATTCTTCCTCAGGAACAGTATTTCTGGAAAGAAAAAACAAACCGTTCTATAGAAGACCACCCTTGCTCAGTGGACTCATATTTTGGGGACTACTGAAATACAAGATGACATTCATTTCTGTACAGTATTTTCAATTTATAAATGTTTTAGCTGGACACAGGGCTACACACTATAATCCTATAATCCCTGTTTGAATCCAGTCTGGCTACATTTTAAGTTAAAGGCTAGCCTGGACTACACAGTGAGAATCTGCCTCAAAAACAAAACAACCACCAAACAAAATTCAAGTTCATTTTAACCTCATTCTAACACTCAAGGATGGATATGATAGGTACTTTGTAACCATTGTATAAATGAGAAACTAAGGCCAGCTGGGTAGTTTGCTCTAAGTTCCACTGCTAATTAACTGTAGCTATGAAGTACATGCCAGGCCTTCACATACCTATCTCCTCTACAGTGACCTTTGCACTTTGCTGGTTTGGCCTCAGTACTGACCAATATATCTGAATTGGATATCTGAAATATTAGGCAACAGGAAAGTATTATGAAGTCAATTAAGCTTGTTGTATTTGTTTTGGTTTTCCAACAGAAAGCCAAATGACTAAGTCATATGACTAACTCTTAATTTTAAAGTATTTATAAACCATGTAGTATATAAGCAAGCTGGCTTAAATTTTTTTGTTTGTTTGTTTGTTTGTTTTTCGAGAGACAGGATTTCTCTGTGTAGTTTTGGTGCCTGTCCTGGATCTCCCTCTGCAGACCAGGCTGTCCTTGAACTCACAGAGATCCGCCTGGCTCTGTCTCATGAGTGCTGGGATTAAAGGCATGTGCCACCACTGCCTGGCTGGTTTAAAATTTTTATGCAAGTATGTTGTGTTCATGAAATATAATTCATTCTATCATGTAAATATCATCTCTGGTTGCACTTCTGTTATATCTATTTATTTGTTGTGTGTGCACACCACCACACTCAGCTTTGGTCTTAAGCTTGTAATTCTGACTCAGCTGCCTGAGAGCCTGGACTAAGACATATATTACTATACCCAACTGAAAATACTGAATTCATCCAAAGCCCAAAGTTTTTTCCTAGCTCAAAAAAAAATGGCAGGCCTGTCCTAGCACTTAAGGCGAAGGGGTGATAAGGGGAACAAAGGTCCACCCAGTTTCAGCGGAATCCTTTCTTCTGCTATCAGAGGCAGCAGGCAGCTTGCTCTGTCTAGGCACAGAACAGAAGGAATCATTTTTATTCTACTCACTAATTAGTGAAAACTACTTTCCTGGAGATACAGCTTCAAATTTAAAACACATCAAATACCATTACATATTATATACAGAAATTCTAAATATTTGCTCAAACATTGCTTCATTCCATAGAAACAATACTGTAAGTCATTCTAGGACTCTTGTAAGATCTAAACAAAGCTGCTTTTCTTTTTTTAGAGACAGGGTTTCTCTGTGGTTTTAGTGACTTTCCTGGATCTCGCTCTGTAGACCAGGCTGGCCTTGAACTCACAGAGTGCTGGGATTAAAGGTGTGCACCACCATTGCCCAGCCAGTTTATTTTCTTTATAATAATTATAACACAAAAATATGTAATGAAAAATAATATTAAGTTTAAGACTCTCAATTACATACAAGCTTTTAAAAAGAAGGCCGGCAAATATCCCATTTACCAATGAGGACTAAACACCACCAGGCTGAGTCTGGAATGGGAAAGAACCATTAGCTGAAGGGCTTTTCTTCAGGTACAGAAGGATCTAAGCAGGGAAAAAGTTATTTCCCATTCTGAATGACATACAAAGAAATGCCTGACATTTATAACTTACGGCTGGACTTTATTTTTAGAGGTGTTGGAAGACATCTTTCTGACTTTCTATATTTGGACAATTGATAGGATTCTGTGAGAGAAGTTATAAGGTAACTTGGGCTTTTGCGAGTTTGTTTGAATTCAGACAGTGTATGAACTCTATTATGTTCCTTAAAGGGTATGTCAGAAAGATGGCTGTATGTTTAGCAATCATTTAACGTCACATATGTACTAGAACATGACAGAACTAAGTTCCATATAAGTACCTTTGACTCAAAGTGACAGATCCGTTCGGGCTCCTTGGATGAGCTTTCTCTGTGTGTTCTCTGACTCTCTTCCCTGCTCTGTCTGGTGAGGCTGTCCGACTGTGAGGAGCACTGTATGCTGGTGCTGGAGCAGCTGTTGTTTCTTGAGGTACAGGGGTGGAAGGTGGAGATGCAATCAGTATTTTAATGTCTTCCAGAGTGTCCTTCGTCACTGCTTTCACTTCATCAGTGGGGGCAGTAGTGGTGGTGGTGGCAGGTGTGGCAGCAGCGGCAGTAATGGTGGGTTTCTGTAGCTGGGTCTGCTGGAACACTGTAACTGTGCTGACACTTGGAGGGCTAGAGGAACTGCTCTCTAATGGCGACAACTGATCGAAGGAACGCAACTGGAAATCATCATCCATCGGGATATAAGGGGCCAGCATCTCCAAGTCTAAATCGGTGTCCTTTCAAACAATAAATACAAGAGTTTGTATGACTACATCTTGTAAAAGAAAAACAAGTTAAACCCAGTCACTTCAGACTAAAAATTAATAAAATAAAAAATAAGCAAGGCAACACACCTGAGTTGAAAATGGATTCTTTGCTTCTGTATCTTCGGCAAACAGTTTTTCCACCAGTTCCAACTTGAATACATTGACCATATCACTATCCACATCAAAACAATATTCACTGGGACTGTTAGGCTGTGAAAGGAATTAGGAGTGTTTACTTTTTCCTAAAGAAATCTCTAGGCTTGCTTGTTATGAAGTTTCAGGCAATAGACATTATAAAGCTTTATCTAACTAAAAATTACGATAGACAAATTTGCTTAGTAGGCTGTGGTGGAAGGAGCACACCTCTAATCCCAGCACTTGGGAGGCAGAGGCAGAAGAACCTCTGTAAGTTTGAGGCCAGCCTGGTCTACAGAGTGAGCTCCAGGCCAAAAAGGGCTACATAGTAAGACCCTGTCTCAAACAAAACAAGACCAACCAACCAACCAACACCCCCTCCCCACAAACAAAATTTATTCTAAAGAATAAAACTCACCAAACAACTTAAGTCCTGCAATGGCACCTTACTATCCAATTAACTAGTTGACATTTTCACTGGAATCTTAAGTATCTGTTCTATTATGTTAGGAGTTATAGACAAGAGTTTCAATAAAGAATATGGTAGCTTGGCATACTAAGCATAACACTTTGCTTTTCCTCATTTTTCAATAGATTTACTTTGGTAAGATTAATGACAAAATGAATCAAACACTTCTGTGCTGAGCAAACCATGAAAGCAAAGACTATATTCTCCAAAAGGTTTTACAGTACCATATTGCTTAACTTACAGCTGCCCATTTTAATTCCTAACAGTTTAATGCAGAATCCAGACTTATCTGTGGTTCACTAACCAGGTTACAAAGTTCAGATCTCAGCTGTCCTGTTCCTAAGCACAATGTTAATAGGAGAAAGCTCTGAAAAGGAAATGTTCTGGATTTGGAAGCAGCTGTTTGTGACACTCTCAGCCCTGGTGCAACCTAGATACTTCTGTTGGCTTTTGAGATCTATCAGTATCTGGCTTTTTCTTCCATCATGTACGTACCTCAGGTGAACTTTGTCTGGTGCTCCCATCAGAAGGACTTGTGGGCTGATCTGGAATCTGGGGCATGGTGAAAGAAAGTTCCAGTGACTCTGGACTCGGCTCTAATTTTAATGCGACTTCTTGATTCAGTGCAGGATCAGCACTACTTCGAAGTGGCTTTGGCGTTTCAGAGGCAGGTAATGGAGACATTGCCAGATTTATATTTGTTAATTTTTCATTATTAGATGGGAACATTACATCATTATATAATGGAACATCTTCAAGTTGTTGGTCTTCAGTTTCTGTGTCTGCAGAGGAAAAATTTCATCAATCTAGAGAACATCAGCATTTTAGTAGTCATAGATATTTTCTACTTTTTATAAAAGATTTGATTCGATCAGTTTTCTTTAACTGGAAAGTGTATAGACATTACAGTATGATCATTGAGTCTGATCTTTTTTGTTCACCATTGACAACTCCTACGATGTGTACCCCCAACGTTTTTATACGCTAAAACAGTCTAATTTGAAGTAACATTGCCATTTTCATGTTTGCTTTATGGTATGACTGCTTCATTCATCCTTTAGCATTGACCCAATTACACCTACTGCAATTTAACTCTAGTGAATGGTGCAGCGGGGTGGCCGGGAGGATACTAGAGGGTATCAAGAGATAACCTTCAGGATACTCTTAGCTACAGTTCCCAGAACACAAAAATCAAAGCAGGAAGGCTATCAACTTTCAGAAACAAACATATTAAACAATACTGTCGAAAGACTATGTGCAAACACTTAAGAAATGGAGCAGAGTGCAGCTGCACGGAGACAGGAAGCAGCAGACACAGCGGGAGAGGCGGCGGACAGACTAAGCACCCACCATCGCTGCCAAAATCCAGAGATATGATCGTGTCCCCAGCAGCCGGGGCCAGCAGAGTCAGAGCATCGGGTTCTTTCTTAAGCTTATCAAAGAGGCAGCTGGTATCCTCTGATTCCACTTTGGTGAACAGCTGAGTCATTTTCATATCTGAAGATTCAACTGGTTTGAGGACACATTCTGTTTGTTGAAGGGAGAAAATCAAGTCGTGCTGAATAATACCACTGTCAAAAAAGGAGAGATTAGTATTTGTAATTAGCACTTGGCACAATGATGGTGAGGGGGGTATGAAATGACCTTGTCTCTTAAATTATGCTATATATATAACATTCCTTGAGATCAATAATCTCTCATGCATATTTGTCACATTTCCCCCCAGTTCTGGTGACTGATCCCAAGACCTGTGCATGCTAGGCAAGCATTCTACTATTGAGAAATGTATATTGTTTTAAAACACTAATATGAAAATAAAAATTGAGATGAAATTCACTAAATATTCAACTCATTTGATTTGAACACCCTTTGAGAATAGTGGTGCCGACAAGAACACCTGCAGTATGAATATGAGGACACAGCAGAGCAATGCATCTGTGCTGATGCACACAACGAAAAGGACACAAAACGACTCTCCTGCTTTAACACAGGAGGCGTGGTCTACGGATGATCTTAGAATGTAATGACATTATGAGGGGCATCATATTTTCTTGGTGGAAATAATTCCAATGTGAAATAGATCAGCAAACAATTACCATACACTGGGGTCACTCCTAAAATGGAAAAGGACGTTTCATAGAAAAGCAAACAAGCTGAAACTTGGGCTCCAGTAATAAATGTGAGGCAGACTGGGAGAGGAAGAACAGTTTTACATGAAGGCAAAACTCACAAAAAAACTCTTTGGAACAAAGATGATTCTTTGGGATTAGAAGTGGTAAGGCATGGAGTCTGATCCCAGCACCAAAAATATCCCCCCAAGGAAACAACAGAACACTAGAAGCTGTAAGAACAAAAACAATGGCCAAAGTCTCCAGAAGAGGGGTAACTTGGATTCTGGTGGCATCTGTGAAAGTTGTGCTGGAGACTGCTGGCACAGCCCGGCAATCCTATGTAGGACAGCTGCAAATTCAAGGCTGGCCTGGTCTATAGTGAGTTCCAGGCCAGCCAGGCCTACTCAGTGAGACAGGGGGAAAAAAGGTAAAGGGTATGTAACATAAGAAAATGAGCTATCCACGTTAGAGAGCTCTGCCTGGCAATTAAATTAGAATGTTTTGGTAATGTGAGGAGTGACTGAATGGGGTCAAACCTACTGAAATAACTTACAGAGTTCATGAATATAACAAAAGCTCCCATGTCACATTATACAAACTGTCACAGTACCCTCACAGGAGACAGTCATTTAACCTTCACAGAACCTTCTTGGCCCAAAGATATTAATATCTGCTTAAAACCGAACTACCAGGAAAACAGATCTACAGACTGATTAAAATGATCAAGTTTTGTGGGATCACTTGAATAGCTGGTTTGGAATGGTGGGAAAGAGTATAAATCATAATCCAGTAGAAAAAGAAAAGTAAAAATAAAACTCAGTTAATTTTATCTCTTCTTAATAAAGGCATGTACATGTAAAAAGTGTTACCACTTGTTTTTCCAAAGTGTCTCTTCCCAATCTTACCTCACAACATAGTTCACACACACGATGCACTGTGGCTGAGAGTTCTTCGTATTATATATGACAGTTGCTTGAGTTTCAACCCAGACATATCCACCTCTTTTGGCAAGCATTCTGTACTGTCCTGTGGTGACTTGTCCTTTAGTAAACACTAGGGATAAGAAAGCATCACAAAGAAAACATAATTGAATTTCAATCAAGTAAGTGTTGAATGTAGATTATTGGGTTTTGTTTTGTTTCCTTTTTTTTTTTTTTTTTGGTTTTTCGAGACAGGGTTTCTCTGTGTAGCTTTGCCCCTTTCCTGGGACTCACTTGGTAGCCCAGGCTGGCCTCGAACTCACAGAGATCCGCCTGCCTCTGCCTCCCGAGTGCTGGGATTAAAGGCGTGCGCCACCACTGCCCGGCTTATTTCCTTTTTTAAGGAAAGGGTCTGTGTAGCCTTGGCTGTCCTGAAACTCCCTATGTAGATGAGGCTGGCCTCAAAATCAGAGATCTGCCTGCCTCTGCCTTCCAAGTGCTGGGGGTAAAGGCTTGTGCTGCCATGCCTGACTGGATCATTGGTTTTTGTTTGTTTTTCGAGACAGGGTTTCTCTGTGTAGTTTTAGTAACTGTCCTGGATCTCGTTCTGTAGACCAGGCTGGCCTTGAATGCACAGAGATCCACCTGGCTCTGCTTCCTGAGTGCTGGGATTAAAGACGTGCGCCACTGCCACCTGACCTGGTTGGTTTTTTTAAAGGAAAAGATATTTAAATAAGCAGTTTTAACTGTTTGAACTGATAAAGGTCAAACACATCTGAAAGTAAAGCCCAAAGTAAAATTCCTGTCTTACTAGAAAAGAAGGAAAGCCTGGGTTGAGGGACAGTGTTGGCTGCAGTTCCTTTAATGACTTATAGTCAGTGTCAGACTAGAGACAGATCACAGGGTACACTTAAGAACATGGTACCATTGTTCCTTAAGTGTCAGAGAACCAAATTACTCTAAAAAAATTATACTCAGAACATTTGAATGCATAAGTTTATATCATATTATAGCCTTGTAGGAATTCATGCAGTCTAAATTAATTACTGAAGAGAATATACATAAATCAATCATGATGATGTTATCGTGACTACCCATGCTCTGACTACAATTTAGGCACTCGCAGTTCAAGGCAAATTACACTAATTCAGTGATATTCAGTACCCTCAATCAAACTGGGAAGTCATGTCTAGGTCCAGATTCAGTAGGCAAGTAAGAAATTGTGACATTTAACTTACTTTCATATCGTAGACTTCATCTGAGTAAAATTCAGAAACCTAGTATGTGTCAAGGTTGTCATGAGTATACCAATCTCATTCACTAATTTATGAACAAATGCTTTTTGACTACCTTCTATTGACCAACCACTGACTTCAGTCCATAGGTATGTAGGGCAGATACTGTAATAGTTGGCTTTTATTTGTCTCTGTGTTTAAAATGCCAGGGAAGCTTTATGTATTATTATTATTATTTTTTAAAGATTTATTTATTTATTATGTATACAGCATGTATGACCAGAAGAGGGCACCAGACCTTATTACAAGTGGTTGTGAGCCACCATGTGGTTGCTGGGAATTGAACTCAGGACCTTTGGAAGAGCAGTCAGTACTCCTAACCTCTAAGCCATTTCTCCAGCCCGCTTTATGTATTATTAAATGACTTTAATTTTTTTTTGCTAATATTTGTAACAAAACAAAACAATTTCATAATCAAGACATCTTATGAAAGGGCTGTTGAATATTCTTGGTCTAAGGGGACTGGTAGTAATTTTAACTAGAAAGTTAGAGGTACAAACAGTGGAGACTGCAGGACTTGAGCAATGAGACTATCTCCTTGAGTTCTTCTACTGTACTTACTATCATGATGAGTTTTGGTCAGATGATCAGAGTCCAAAGCATGATAATATTCATAAATTGAGCGGCCCAAAAGTTCTTCTGGCTCATAACCCATCAACTCAGTAATTCTGTTTAAAAAATTAAAGATTATTTTTCAATTAATAAGTTTACAACTTACCCTTAACAATTCTATACTTCAGTTAGGTGGCGGCGGCACACTTTTAATCCCAGAACTCAGGAGGCAGAGGCAGACAGATCTCTGTGAATTTTAGGCCAGCCTGGTTTACAGAGAGAGTTCCAGGACAGCAAGGACTATGCACAGAGAAAACATGTCATAAAAAACAAACAAACAAACAAACAAACAGAACAACTCCCCCTAAAAAACCCAACCAAATAAACAAAAATCCCAATTCTACACTTAGTATAATAGTGAGCCTTTCCATGTCATTTAGATCCATCCTTGATATCTGACTCTTATCCCTTTTACCCAAACCCATGACCTATTTTTTAAAAACACATTTCATTATACATACTATTGTATCAGAACAGGGTATTAATAAATCTTAATAAGCTTAGCAATGGTTAATCCCACTCTTGAGAGACAGAGGCAGGCAGAGCTCTGTGAGTTTGAGACCAACCTGGTCTACAAAGTGAGTTCTAGGACAGTTAGGACTGTTTCACAGAGAAATCCTGTCTCAAAAACCAAAAATCTTAATAATGCTAAATAAGTTCCAAAGATAGTCACAATTATGTTAAAATACAGTTTCATCTATAGCAGTTTATTTTTCATACAGCCAAATTCTTCACCTTATAATTTTTAGGTCCATGGCAAGGCCTCACTTTAATATCAACTATGAAATTTCATTATCATTAAGCCAAGGACATCCATACTAAATGCAAAGTAAAGGAATAGCTATTATGATGTTTTAGAAGATAACTCTTTTACTTGGTTTCCTCACTAATAAGAAGCAAGTGTTAAGACTGTTTGGCTGAGATTTCAAAGGGCTTTAAAAAAAAAAAATGAGTTGCAGGTAAAAGATACTCATATGTCCAAAAAGCAAACAAAAAGAAAACACCTAATTAGAGAATGGGCATAAGCAAGGTATCTTTGTTCATAACAGTATGTTAAATAATATAGCTTGCAGTTTAAGATCTGCCATTTACTCTAAAACCAAAAAAAACACATTTATTAAAACATAAATCAAACTCACTTTCAAAACAGGATATACCAAAACACATCAACACTAGATGGCAGCATTACAAAGGAAAATAAACTATGCTTTAAAAATATTTGTCTTCCCCTCCATCCCAGAATGGTAGCAGGGATTGGATCTAGAGCAGTGGTTCTCAACCTTCCTTATGCTATGACCCTTTAATACAGTTCCTCATGTTGCGGTGACTCCCAATCATAAAATTATTTTCGTTATTACTTTATAACTGTAATTTTGCTGCTGTTATGAATTGTAATGCAAATATCTGTGTTTTCCAATGGTCATAAGGCAACCACTGTTGTAGCTAGGGTTTTCCTGCCTTGCCCACAGTCAGGACAAATCTTTGTCACTCGCCAGTCCCACAGCTGCTCAGACCTGACCAAGTCAACACAGACTTATATTGCTTACAAACTGTATGGCCGTGGCAGGCTTCTTGCTAACTGTACTTATAGCTTAAATTAATCCATTTCCATAAATGTTTGCTATGTGGCTTGTGGCTTACAGGCATCTTCACATGCTGCTTGTCCTGGCGGCGGCTGGCAGTGACCCTTTCTGCCTTCCTGTTCTTTTTTTCTCCTGTTAGTCCCGCCTATACTTTCTGCCTAGCCACTGGCCAATCAGTGTTTTATTTATTGACCAATCAGAGCAACACATTTGCCATACAGAACATCCCACAGTACGCTGTAAAAGGGTTGTCCAGCCTTGAATGGAGTCATGACCCACTGGTTGAGAACCACTGATCTAGGGATTCACAAACGCTAGACAAAGGCCACCTCCCCTCCCTTTTGTGCTAGTGGTGACAGAACCAAGGACCCTGTGCATACTAGGTTTTCTGGTTAAAATGTTTTCTAGGAACTTCTTGCTCTATAACCTCAGAATCAAGACATGGAAAACATTTTGTCCAATTTTAGGAAAATCTTTACATCACATTTCTAACATCCAGAGCCACAAAAATGGGCCAGCAGGTAAGGCACCTACCACCAAACCTGACAGCATGAATTTAGTCTCTGGGACTCACATGGTGGAAGGGGAGAACCAACTCCCACAAACCGTCCTCTGACCTCTTCCTTTGTACTGTGGTCCACATGAGCCCACATATATCCACCTACACACTCAGCCCTAACAATTTAAATTGCTCTTATATACTTAAAATTTCCACAAAAATGAAACACTAAAACATTCATGCAAATGCAATGAGAAAACCTAACCTGTGGGCCATCTTCTGGCATACTTGCCACACTATTTATGAAAGAGGGTGGTAAACACGGTGATAGGTACCTGTTCTAGGAATCAGAGGAACTACACTCCTTGTCCAAGAGAAGAATGGTAAGGGACAGATCCTTCAAGGACAGGTATGAATTCAGTGTAGAAGAGTGGCGAAGAGAAGTTTGCAAAAACCACTCAGGAAGAAGCTATAGCACAGAAATAAATGCATGGGATAGGTAGTGAAGAGTCTGGTGTGGCTAGTACAGGCAGTGGAGAAGAAGGATTCAGGAGACGAAGGCAAGAGATTGGATAAACGGAGATCATGTTTGCTGAGTCTTTGGATGCTTTAACTCAACCACACGCTAACCAGTGTGTGTTTCTAGTCTGAGGAATGCCGACTGCTAAAGAATAGGGTACTGAGAAATCAAAACAGAACACCAGTTTTCTTGGCAGGCTGATTTTGTGTATGTTGGAGGACACAAGAGAAAACAAACAAGTTTAGAGAACTACACAGTGATTCAGTACCAAAAGAGGGCAAGAGGTCCAGAAAACTGAATTATTTTGTTTTGGTGGTAGATATTGAACCCCAGGCCTTATATATGCTATGCAAGCAAGTATGAGTTACCTCTCCAGTCCCTAGAAAGTACTTTTTTTTAAACTGGATTAGGAAATTTGTGTTCTAAATGAACTATATAGTATGTCATTCATTTACAATATACATCTTAAGGGGAGGAATCATCATTTCTATGAACATAGACTAAGTAAAATAAACAGCTCTCTGTGGATAGTCTGGATGTTAGAAATTAAAAACTTCATTCCATTTTATTTATTTTCTTTGTGTGAGTGTATGTGTGTGCCATAGCACAAAGGTGGAAGTCAGAGGACAGTGTGTGGGAGTTGGTTCTCTCCTTCCACCTTATGGGTCCCAGAGATTGAATTCATGTTGTCAAGTTTGGTGGCAGGTGCCTTTATCTGCTGGCCCATCTTGGTGAACCAGGATGTTAGAACTGGGATGTTTTCCCATGCCTTGATTCTAATGGGTTATAGATTCAAGAAGTTCTTAGAAAAAAAATTTAACCAAAAAACAAGAGTCTCCTTGTGTGAGTTACTATTAAGCTTTTAGTCTTTTAACTGATGTCATGGTGACTGTGTTAATTTTCTGACAGAACCAGAGGGGAACGCACGCCACTACCTTTCTTGTTTTGACTCTTTTGCTTTCCTTTATCCCCAGACTGCTCTATTTTCTGCGACACAAGTTTAAAAATAAGGGGATGGAAATTTTACTTCCACCACACTTTTGTATGCTGGCAATAAACACCATAAAACAGTTATCAAAACCATAAGATAGTTCTTAGTTTTTCTCTTCCTTTTATTGAAGTTGACACCAGTGGTAAGTGTACTGGACATACAACAAACTTCTAAAGGCCTCACAACAGATTTTTGAGGTCTGACCCTTCTAGACTAGGATTGCCAGTTTGACATCAGTTAAGTACCCAAACCCCAAGCCAGAACAGAATCCTATGTTGTGTGACCTTAGTCAGTGCTCTGCCAACATTGCTTTGTCTAAAGCGTGAGGAATTATAGTTATTCTAAGTGCTAAGGACTTAAAATTGGTGTTTCTATAAAATCGTTAGAGAAGTAGGAGGTAAGAAAGCTACGTATTTGCTGAGTGTGATGGTGCATACCTTTAATCCCAGCACCTGGGAAGAAGAGGCAGGCAGACCTCTGTGAGCTGGAGGCCAGCCTGGTCTACACAGTGAGTTTCAGGACAGTTAGGGCTATACAGACTCTGTCTCAAAAAAGCCAAACACCAAACAAACCAACAAAAAGCAAGAAAGTGATGTAAAAGAACTGATATGCTCATTATGATCTAGGGACCAGCATCAGAATTTTAGTTGACTGCAGAATCTACACCACTAATCACAGGCTATACAGCTTGTAGCAAAAAGAGACCAACAAGACAGCAACAGAACGAACACTATGACAGAAGCACATACAAGGATGTTGCCTAAGACGCTGTTAGAAGGTGAATGAGTGCAAAGGCACTAGACCTTAAAAAAGCACACGAACTCTTGGTTATAAGCGGCTGCGGCCATATCCAGATGAGTGCTTCTCCCACCTCCTGGTCAATTTGGAGAACTGAGAAAGGCCCAGACTGTAAATACATTTAGATTTAACTGTAAACCCTTTCTCTTTTTGAAACAGACTATGCAGCCCTGATTAGACTGGAGTTCATATGTAGTCTAAACTTTTGGTGACTTTCCTGTCTCAGCCTCCCAAGTGTTGAGATCATAGACACAAACTACCACACGCAGAATGTACAGCACCTTTTGATAAATAAAAATCTTCTTCCCACACATTGCTACAAGAAGCAATTGTTGCATTTCTAACAAGAGAATGGCATGACCCGCTCCTGGATGTAAGAGTAAAAGGGCACAAATCTGTTGGTAGAAATGCAGCTCACGAGTTTATGGCAACAACGCAGGCCAAAGGTAATGAAGCAAAGAATTCAATGACAAGGTCACAAAGGTAGATAGAATGATGAGGGGAGACAGTTGAACAATGCATTTACAATATTTAGAGAACAACTAAGTGCAGTTTGTGGTAAAGGTTAGAGGCAGGTATCAATAGTGCTATGCTGACAACACTAGGCTTCCCAAGAGGAGCAGCAGTTTGTCCTGCTGTGGGGAGCAGTAGTGGTGCAGTTCAGGAGTAGAAGTACTTACTTCACTATACAGAAAGTGATCAGACAGAAACACTCAGTTGGCAAGTACACACAAGTAGTAACAGATTTGGGAAATGGTGACAGGAACCACTGGTGGAGTTGAAGGTGCTCAAGAACATGTAGGTTAAAGACCAAAATTTTGTTGCCTACTCTACATAAACTTTATGTCTTTGAAATTTACATTCTCAATTTAAGCAGGATTCCCTAATTGGACAAGCAATCCATCTCTGACCTACATCCCTACTCCTTTAAAATATTTCTGCGAGACAGCTGACTTCGAACTCACCTTCCTCCTGCCTCAGTCTCCCAGTGCTGAGATGACAGGAGTGTGCCACCAGATCCAGCTAAGAATCTCACCTTACAGATTTGCATAATATTTGGCGGCAGAGTACTTATAGAACACAGTATATGTTTAATAAATGTGTGAATTCACAAAGCTAATCTTATGTTTTTGTGTCCTAGGATGCATCTTTTTACTCAGCTTCATGAACACATGCAATGTACCATTAAGTTTTTACTATAGTGAGTATAAAAAGGCTACAGAGAAATTTAAATTTTAAAAGTATAAAATAGGATTAATTTACCTTTCATCACAGTAAGAAAATTTCATATCCAGGCTGTGTCGACTGAGAAAAGTCTTGCTATCTAAAGGAATTTCAATATTTGATGGATGAGGAATGGGTTCACAAATCAGCACCAAGCATGTCATGGGTGGTTTCTTGTACCCACACTGAGGTTGGTTACTGTTGGTATCATATACGTGAATATGGCCTGTGCAGTGAAGCACCTATGTATGAGCAAGAAAACAAGTGGTTACCTTTTTTTGTTGTTGTTTGTTTTTAAAGGGGGAAAAAGAAATGCAGGTTAGTAGTTGAGTTTGACCTGACAAACTTTCAAACTTTGATAAAAGTGTCACAACCATCTGTAACTCTAGTTCCAGAGGATCTGATGCCGTCTCATCTCTTCAGGAAACAAGCATGCATTTATACACTGATATACATGGAGGTGAACCATTCATGCACATAATAAAAAAAAAAACGAGGGCTCACTTATAAACCAGACTATGGATCTAATGCCCTCTTCTGGCCTTCACAGGCACTGCAAGCACATGGCACACTTTCATCCAAGTAAATCTCTCTCTCTCTCTCTCTCTCTCTCTCTCTCTCTCTCT